CCGCTCTAATACTAATTGTAAGGTCTGATTTTCACACAAGTGTTACAAAAAGTGTTACAACACTTTTAGCAACACATGCAATTAATGGTCAAGTTCTTTGGTGATCAAATGACAGTAAATGGAAACATGCATGAATAAAAAATAATGCAGGAGAAAACTAAATAACACCAAAAAATGATACTGCAGTTCGGTGCACACACCTACATCTGCGGGGCCACGCCCAAACAGTGAACAATCCACTAAGTTCAAAGAATTACAATCACCAATCGGTCTTACACACTCAAAGACTCCCTCCTTGATGTCGTCGCCGCTGTGCAGAATCCTCTTAGTGACCTTGTCCACCGAGCGCCACTCGACTTCGAAAAACTTTCTCCCGAAAGCCAAATTCTTCAATTACCAATTAAGAATCTTCAAGAAGCACATGTTTTTCTTGTAGATTATATTCTCCCTCAGCCACACACGACCATCACCTCCTCTCCAGCAACCCACAGTCCCTGAATAATCAAAAAAGCAATCAATCCATATTTGCCCAATTTTTTCTTCTAAAAGAACAGTCTTAACGACCAATTACCTTTCCAAAAATACTTTTCATAGACAGAGTCAATCAAATAACCAAAATCAACCTTATGAAATTACACTCCTAAAAAACTTGCATTCTTCTATAGAAAGAATCAACTCAAGAGATGTAAAACATTCTAAATCCAGTGTAAAAATACAAAGACATAATCTCCATAGCTGTTACAATCTTTTGTCAAAAATTGTCAACCAACAAAAGTCCTAACATGACATTTTTTAAAAAAATTTAACCGTAGTAAAAAAATAAATGTGATATTTTTTAAAAATTTTTAATTATAAAAATTAAAAATTTAAATCAGTAAAATAAACGAGATTTATAAATTAAAAAAAATAACAATTTTTTTTTTTTTGTTAATCGAAAAATAACAGTCCTGTTATGGAGCTACGCATACAAACAAAAGGTGGGTCCCAATGTTGAGACTCACTTTACGTGGGACCTTACCTTGGGTCTTGAGGAACGTTCTGCAACGGTCCACAATGCGGAGCCTCCAAGTGTCCTCCTAATATATAAACAGCAAGACTAGCATTAATTATATGTGTGAATATATATGCCTAAATCTAATTGGATTTCAAATATGCTTTGCCACGAGATGGGACCCAAATTTGTTATAAGGGTAGAGGAAACACGCATGAAACAATAAATCCATGTGCTAGTATGTTTGTGAAAAGTGTATAAAGGAATAAAATTCATATTACGTGCGTCATAAAGAAAAATTCCTATTACAAGGATTTTCCGTTTTTTCAAAAGGAAACATCTTATCTTATCACTAGACAAGACTGCACGGCTTTATTCATTGTGGCCAATTTTGACACGGCCAGACCACAATAATTAAGCTGTGCGGCCGCACATGTTACCGTGACCCACTTCCTTAGATATCGCGTCGATACCCAAAATCTTTTAAAGGGGAAAAAAAATCTTTATGACGAAGTTTGTCTTTTTCCAACTTCAATACTTATTGGCACAGTATATTTACTTATTCTAATTGAAAATTTAAGACCCATTTATTTTATTAATTTAAGTTTTTAATTTAAATTAAGATATTATTATATGTGAAAATTTTTTATTGTAGTAAAAAAAATTAAATATAATTATTTTTAATAGTTTTTTACTATAATAAAATTTAAATTTTAAATTTGAATTAATGAAATAAACATAACTTTAAATTATAAAGTAAATATATATAAGAAAAATATTTTATTAAAAAAATTAAATTTAAATATTTGTAAAAAAACACTATTTATAATTCAAATTAATAAAACGAATGTGATTAGTATTTGTAATTGTTGAATTAAGTTTATAACAATTAGATATGTATATATTCACATAAAAATTTATAGCATTCCATATAAAAATTCCTACACATCAAACGTTAAAAAATTAATCTAACAATTAAAATAAAGAAAACAAAAGTTCTTAATAGTTATGGTTTGTTTAGTTCGTTAGATTTGAGTTGAGATGTAACTTTATATGAGAGTTTTTTACTGTAACAAAAAAATTAAATGTGACTATTTCTGATAACTTTTTACTATAATAAAACTCAAATTATAAACTCAAATCGATGAAATAAACAAGATATTAATAAAATAACATTCTCTACCAAAAATGCACTATTTAGATAATAAATAAATTAAGGATCATTTGGTACGAGAATTCAAATCAGAGTGATTCTAATTATGATTCTAGAATCAGAATCATAATTTATAATTTTAGATTCAAATAATAATTCTGAAACTATAATTCAAAATTATAAATTTGAATCACTTTAAATTAAAAGAGAAATAATTTTAAAATCATAAATAATTTTAATTTTAAATATCACATTAAATTTTAAATCATCTAAACTAAATATTAATTTAAAATTACTATAAATAAATACTAATTTTGAATTAAGATTCCCAAGTCATCTACATACCCAAATCTCGATCCAGCACGAAATTTGAGCGAGAACACAAAGTACGAGGTCCTAGCTTAACACGCGAGTTCTTAAACGAGGACACGTGTTATTAAAATAATTCCTGTCAGTTGTCAGTAAGAGTCCCCGAAAAGAAAAAGAAAGAAAACCACAGCAGACAGAGTTGAAACAATCCCTAACAAACATCGCTACGCGCCACGTCAATGTTTTCTAGAGACCGCAAACGGGGGACCACTGGCACAAAATCTCTCAACCGAATCACTAACCGCCAGATCTGATCTCCACGTGTTTGGGCCCGCATCTGAGCCGTCCACGTCTCTTTTGAAAAATCCAACCCAGTGGTCCGTACAACCCCAAATGGCGATAATCCAGCCGTGCCGAGAAAGGTAACGGCTCAGATTTGTTTCTTTTACATTTGGCCTTTTACGTTTTTTTTTTTTTTTTTTGGCTAATCAAAAAGGCTTTTAACGCATTTGAATCACCTCTTCTCCACTTTGATTGTTTCCTCTCTATCTTCGTCGGTCACTTGTCAAGCTCTCAAACATGAACATTCGGAAGAAATCGAAGCTCCACTCGCCGCCGGCGAGAGATCACCGGCGACTTAGTCTCAATTCCAGCGATTCGAGCAAGATATCGCTCGTAAAAACCAAAAGAGCTCGCAGGATCCAGAGAATGAAACTCCAGACACTGGATTGCACGTGTCGAACGGAGATCCACTTCACCGTCGCCGGCGGCGGCGACGATATCTCCGGCGATGGCGACCAGAAGGAGAGCAAGAAAAAGCTGGAAGTAAATGGCGCCGATCCATTGAAGATAACGGTTAATCTATCGTTCGCGTCGACGGCGGAGAATAACAATGACGGCGTCGTTTTACAGAGTTTCGGAAGCGAAACGCGCGAGGAAAACGTTTTGGAGGGATTGGAAGGGGAAAGGAAATACGGCGTCGTTTCGGTGATAGGGAGGAGGAGCGAAATGGAGGACGCGGTGAGAGCGGAGCTAGGGTTTGCGGCGAAAGGGAGTAAAAGGTACGATTTTTTCGGTGTCTACGACGGCCATGGCGGGACGTACGTGGCGAGCGCGTGCCGTGAGAGATTACACGAAGTGGTGGCTTCGGAGATAGAGCATAACAATAGTGATAAAGAGTTGGAGTGGGAAAAGGTGATGGAGGGGTGTTTTGGTAAAATGGACGAGGAGGTGAAGGGCAATGCGGCGGCGAGGACGGTCGGAGCGACGGCGGTGGTGGCGGTGGTGGAGGAGGGGGAGGTTGTGGTCGCCAACTGTGGGGATTGTAGAGCCGTCATGTCAAGGGCTGGTCTTCCTCTTGCCTTGTCTACTGATCATAAGGTAACAAAATTGACCCAAAAAAAAAAAAAAGAACAAACATTTTCCTTTTTTTTCATTTCTTCTTTTTGTTTTTGTTTTTGTATTTTCTTTTTCTTTTTTCCTCCAATGGTCGTCCTTTTGTTAGCTTGAAGCAATTTTTTTACCCTTCTTTTATTATTATTATTATAATTCTTTATTAATTTGCTTGATTTTTGTTTCCTTACATCATTGTGAGGTTTTTGAAGAAGCAAAGGAAAATAACAACTGATCGGTTAAACAATAAGGACATACACACACTTGGCTACCAAGCAGTGGAAGTGGAAAAAATAAAAAAATAAAAAAGGACACAGTTGGCTAATAAACGGAAAAAAAAAAAAAGACTAGAGAAAGAAGACAACTAAGAAATGCAGGCATTATTTTATTTTTCGGAAGAAAAAAATGTTTGTTCTTTAATATTTAAAGGAAAAAAAA